CTTAATTTAATATAACTGCCATCTTTTATATAACAGTGTTGAAGTATTTTCTATCCTACGAAATCGAAATATATTTACTTTTAAAAACCAGAGTCAAAACCTTTCCTCGTATATTCTTCCAGAACGACCAGATAAAAATGTTGGCCAAGGGCGGACGGTTTGTCTGAGGAAGATTTCGAGGTTCAATTCTGTTCTTCCATTGCATCAAGTCTTCAGAATGTAATTTCTGCATTGGTTTTGAAAATTTACGGGCAGTTGTACATTCTTGAAATCCTGAATTTCCTTGGTGCCAGATTAGAATCTGAGGGTTGTTCCTTACTTTGCCAGTTTGCCTTCAATCCTTTCGTGTCCTGGCAGCTTCATCCGAGTTTCCTGATTTGGGCATATGAGTACAATCACGTTTTTTAAGCATTTCCTGTACGCAGAGTTCTATTGTTTTGATCTCAAGTTGGAAAATTGAGAAGAAGCTTGAGTAATTTGATAAGTTTTAAAACTGATGGCGTTTGTTGATCTCAACTCCTGTCTAACTTAACTACGTTGATCAATTCGCTCGGTCCGTCTATTCACGCTAGTTTACGTACTCAAAAGTTTCAACTCCACGCCTTCAATGAGGAACAGATAATTTTGTTTAGATATTTATTTTTTAATTTGCCTGATTATGAAGAAAATCACAAAATAGAAGTATGAAATATTTTCTTTTTACTTCAATTTGCAGTTATTCAGATAATTTTATCTCTGTTCTTCACAAACATTCCGAGCAAATGTTCGTTATTTTTACATTTACATCTTTCACCACTTTTTAGAAATAATGAGAAACGTCGATCTTTGAAAGTTTCGAAATCCACCTGTTGCAGTTTCATCTCGTTAGATACAAAACGCGAATTTTTACTGTTTTCCCACCGGCATTAATAAACATCAAATACGCGACGGAAATACGATGACCTTTGTTATAAAAAGCGCTTCCTTGAAAGCATTGGAAAGAGACCAGTGCCAACAATTCAAAGCCCCGGGATTAATTTGCCGGCGAAAATAGCCAGGTAGTTGATGACGAAATAATTGCACATCAATTATAATAAGTTGTGTGTGGTTTTTATTTAATATTAAAATTATTTTATCTCTACGAAAGTTTAGAAGAGGACCAACATTGAAAATTATTCTTGTATACGGTCTCGGTTGAGATGAAAAAGTTAGTCACGAGCGGGATTGGAGGTCGGAAGATTATCATGATCTTGCGGCCTCCTTTCATTCACAGTAATAAATACATTCGAACTGTATTTACAAATTCCACTCATACACTAAACTAAACTGTTTGTCGGGCATGTGCAGTACTCGATATTCCTCGACATCCACGTCCTTTCACGCATCACCACTCACGCTAATAAGTACATTCTTTCTGAAAAGGCCACTACACTTCGGAAGTATAGTACTAACGAAATTCCAATGACCCGTCCCTCACATCATACTACAAATATATATACACGTAGCTACTAATTTGGTGGGCCTGTAAGTACTCGACATTCCGTCACAGCCACACTCATGCTTCGACACTCACGCAAATAAATACATTCATACAAATAGGGGGATATACCACGTTTGGTGGGTTATATATAGCATTGATTAATTTTATAATATGCTATTGGGAAGGCCACACCAAGCTCTGTGCAGTGCTAGTTGTTCGTATTCTTCTAAAATATGTCTTACTGTCATAGTTGCGCCGCACATGGGACATCTCCTCGGTCTTTTGCATATGTTAGGCGGGTATGGCCTATCCTTAATTGTGAAAGTACAATTCTTTTTGAAAATTTCAGGGATCCAAGGTTTGACTGTCTTTTAGCGTAGAAATGTGTGGTGTTTAGTGACCGTTAGTCAATGATTATTTAGAGATCGTGAGATGCGGTCTGGTTTTGTTGAAATGCAGACAACACAAGGCCCTGAAGATGATCTCAGTAAAGATCGAAACGTTGACATGATAAAGAAAATGTTTTTCTAAGACCTACGTCACACCAGACCGGACCTCATGATCTTCAAATAACCTTTTGACTGTTTTATCACCTTTAGTTTTTCATTCAGGGCGTTCCATCTGTTTTGCTAGTTGATCAGCTTGTTCATTCTATATTCATGACCCAGAATCTGCTTAAAGGTTGTCGATTTTTCCTAGAGCTATTACGGAATTTAGGACAAGTTTGGAGCATATTCTTTAGAGCCTGTAAAGTATTTAAATTTGTACATATTTTCCATAGTCCTGTGCACTGAGATATATTGCATGGAACTCTGGTCGGAAAATTGTTGAGATTAGTTAAGGGCTTTGCAAGGTTTTGGTCGGTTTTACACCTACGGTCTATGTTTATAACATACGGCCCTTGTTAAACTTAGTACTATTTTTCTTCCAAACGATTCATTATCTATGACTACTTGGAAGGGTCTGCCAAAGTTTTGTTTCACTACCATTTTGTACCGTTCTAATTTATTGTAATTATCTTCAAAATTTTGACGCGGCGGTTTATTTCCTTGTACCTCTGGAGTTTATCGGCACTCTCGGCCATCTTTCGTCCATAAATATGTAAGAGTGCGGTTTCCATGACTGTAGTGGGATGGGAATTGCACCTGATTTAAGTTAATTTCAGTTAATCAAAAATTATGGCTTTTTTCAACACATGATTAAAAGCGTTGTACTGCATAGAAAGTTATTTATAACAAAACGGATCAATAAAGACGGATATAAAGTAAAAACAAATAGTCCTGTAATAGCCAGTTTTGAAATATCTACCTTGTTAATTTAAGATGGCAGTAAGGATTTCTCGATTTTAACAACTATAACTTTACAGCCCTTACACTCCTCTGTTTACTATTTCACCTTCGAGGGCCGTAGGTTCGTTTAAATTTGAGTAGGCCGTAATAAAAAGGCGAGTGACGCCGTAAAAGTCCGAAACCGGGCGGGTTTTCAACAGTTAATTCACTTCATTTACAAAGTTTTTACGGCGCGCCTCCCACTATTTAGTCGGACAATAAAAGTTCCGACCCTAAAGCGTCCATTTCCCCGTGGGCTTTTTCTCGAGGCTGAAAGGGCAACGGTCTGGAAACTGACCACGGCGTTTTAATTAAAATAATAGAAAAACAAAGACTCTTCTCGAAGGGGAAACAAAAAGAGGACAATTTTATTACTCAACCACCCGACCGGCTTCGCTACCTCCTGTTATCTTCGTTGACCCTTTTCCTCTTTTCAATTTGTAGCGTTCGGAAGGGAAGAAAGACAATTGAAAATCAGACCATTACCATTTGCAAATAATAATACAAAAAAATCCGATTGTTCGACCAAAGATCAATAAACGCTTTTATTTATGAGAAATTATTTACAAGAGCTTCCAGAAATGTCTCTTTTTCCCTGTGCATAATATACAATTTCATGTCAAATATTTTCTAATTATTACTTTCAAAGGGAAAACGACGAAAAATATAACTCCATGCCTTTTATTAACTCTCCAATTAGAATGAACTAGATAATCAAAGAGGGCGACTAAATTTCAACATGTCCATCTATAGATCAAAGCGGACATTTACATATTCAACAACATTTCTTTTCGTCCAATTAATAAAAACATCACAATTGAAAATTCGTACTGTTTTATTAGAGTGTGCGTGAGTGAGTGAGAGAGTGAGAGAGAAAAAGTTAGATGAAGCAGATTAAGGAATTGGAAGGTAAGATGAAAGGACCTTACAAACAGAGGATGAGAAAGTGAGAGAGCGAGGAGGAAAGAGGGAGAGAGAGAGAGAGAGGAAAGGGAGTGAGTGAATAAAAGAGAAAAACAAAGAAAGTGAGTGATCGGCAAAAAACGAGTGAGTGTGAAACAGAAGGAGAGAGAGGGGGAGAGAGAGAGACTGAGTGAGTGAATGAGTGAGTGATTGAGTGAGTGGGTGAGAGAGAGAGAGAGAGAGAGAGAGAGAGGGGGGGACTGAGTGAGTGAAACAGAATGGGAGAGAGCGAGAGGAAAAAGTTACATGAACGAAATTAAGGAAGAGGGAGGTAGGGCGAAAGAGCTGTGTAAATAGCGAATGAAAAACAGAGAGAGAGAGAGAGAGAGAGAGAGTGAGAGAGAGAGTGTGTGAATGAGTGAGTGAGTGAGTGAACGAGAGGAATTAAAGGCTAGAGAGAGATACTGAGTGAGTGAGAGGGAGTGTGAAACAGAATGGAAGAGAGCGAGAGGAAAAAGTTACTTGACCGAAATTAAGGAATAGGGAGGTAGGACGAAAGATCTGTGTAAATAGAGAATGAAAAACAGAGAGAGAGAGAGAGAGTGGGGGAGAGGGAGAAGGCGAGGGGGAGAGAGNGGGGGGGAGGGAGAGCGAGAGAGAGAGGAGAGATGGTGGTAGAAGGGGGAAGAGGGAGAGAGAGAGGAAAGGGAGTGAGTGGAAAAGAGAAAAACAAGGAAAGTGAGTGATCGGCAAAAACCGAGTGAGTGTGAAACAGGAGAGAGAGAAAGAAGCGAAAGGGAAAGTAAGTTACACGAAGTAGAATGAAAAAGAAAGAGTGAGAGTGAGGAAGAGAGGAGACATAGGATCCATCGGTAATGGTCAGAATGAGAAACTTGCCGCCATTTCACCACCTAGGTTTGGTAGACTAAAATGATCAGTATACAAGCTAAAAACTATGTAATTTGGCCATTTCCGATTAAACTGGACAGCCTACTCCTGGTGTCAGTCACATAGGTTCATGATCAACCTCAGTAATTCGGGGGTGTTTTATTTGGTCAATCATGACCTTTTTTTTCTTTCTTTCTTTAGCCAAGTCATGAGGATGGAATAAATTAAACTTTGGGTGACGAAGCGAATGAGTTACGTTTTAGTCACGAACTAACAGAAAATTTAACCAATCTAATTCGATTAAATTAATATATTTTTAGGCTTACGTTGCTAAAAATTGATCTGCCTTGAAGCCAATCACACAGGATTGTAACCAAGTAAAAAGTTTCTTTGAAATATAAGGAAAGCATGCTGGTACTTACGGATCGTCCGGAGTCAGGTGGACCGGCTCGTCTGTGAATTCGGGAGGGAAGTTGGCCAGGTCTCGATCCGAATCCAACCTCGGCTTGTACGGGGGCGTCACCTGCTTCTGCTCCAGCTACAAACAACAGAATAAACTACTTTTCGACTGTCTACACAAAGATAGTGGCGGGCCTAAAAAGCTAAAACATAATGCGAATATCGGGGGGGAAAAAATACGACGGAAATTGTTGGAAAATCGACAAATCACGGATCGTCCGCCGTGAACGTCAACGTGAGACTGGTGAACTGTCGGTCGAAGTTTTCCAAACAGTAGTGCGATCTGCCTGGGATAAACAGGCGACCAATTTTGTTTTATTTTCAGGAAATAAACAAAATTGAAAATTATAACTCCATTATTTATTATGTTCAACTTTCTTGAAACGTAAGCGTATAAACAAAAATGTATGACAATAAAATGTAAAAAATTCTAAAACAGAGAAAGAAAGGGAAAGTGTACAAAAAAGAGATCGAGGGGTAGACTGCCAGAAAAGGGCTTTCTGGTTTTCTAGAGAATGATCGTACGCTGACAAAAACACATGTCTCAGATAAATAATATCGTGATACTGTAATGAACGTGATATTGAAAAGTACAGATACAAATATATATCGATACATGAATAAAAAATAAAATGGATGGTGTAGGAGAAAAAACGGTTTGTATTATACATTCATAGTTAATTAAATATTAATTATTCTTATCTAACTGCAACTTCCGAAAATTTTACAAATAGTTTAAGGGCAATAGAAAGAAAGACTGATAAGAAAAAAGAGCTGTATAGATAGAGAGTCTAGAGAGACCACAGAAAAGGAACGAAAAAGAGAGATAGAGAGAGAGAAAGAGAGAGAAAAAAGCAAAGAAAGAAAAAAAGAAAGAGGGAGAGTGAGAGAATGAGTAAGTGAGAGGGAGAAAACGAGAGAGGAAAGAAGTGAGAGGGAGAGAATGAAAGTTGGGATAGTGAGTAAAATGAGAAAGAGAAAGAGACAGGGGAAAAAAGATATTTGATAAACGATTTCTGTTTACAAATCTCGCAAATTTAGGTCAATTTGAGCTTTTTCACAAGAGAGAGAGGGAGAGAAGACAGAGAGACAGGGAGAGACTGAGGAAGGGTGAGAGACAGAGGAGGAAGAGAGGGAGAGAGAAAAAAAGAGAAAGGGAAAACGTGAGTGAGTGAGGAGAAAGAGAGAGAGAGAGAGAGAGAGAGAGAGAGAGAGAGAGAGAGAGAGAGAGACTGAGAAAGAGCGAAAGGAAGAGGAAAGTAGTGAATGAATGAGTAAGTGAAAGAGAGAGAGAAAGAGAGAGCGTGGAGGAAGAAGGAAAAAGTGAGAGAGAGTGAGTGAGTAAGAGAAGTAAGAGAAGCGGAGAGATTGAAAATGAGAACAAAGAGATAAAGATATTGGAACGTAGAACAAAAGAGCATATAGATAAGGAATGCAAAATAGTGAGAGAGAGTGAAACCGAAGGGGAAAAAGGGAGAAGGAAAGAAAGAGGGAGAGAATTAAACGGAGTGAGTGAGTAAATGAGAAAGGAAAGGAGAGTGAGTGAGAGGGGACAGAGAGAGAGACTGAGGAAGAGCGTAAGAGAGAGGAAGGTAGTGAATGGATGAGTGAGTAAGAGAGATTGAAAATTAGAAAAAATAGATAACGATATTCCAACAAAGAAAAAATCGCAGCAAACATAGTGAGAGAGAGAGAGAGAGAAAGAGAGAAGGAGAGAGTGAGATAGAATGAGAGTTAGTAAGAGAATTAGTGAGTGTATGAGATAAAGAGAGAGTGTGATAGAATGAGATTGAGTGAGCGAGTGAATGAGGGAGAAAGAAAGAGAGAGAGAGAGAGAGAGAGAGAGAGAGAGGGGGGGACTGAGTGAGTGAAACAGAATGGGAGAGAGCGAGAGGAAAAAGTTACATGAACGAAATTAAGGAAGAGGGAGGTAGGGCGAAAGAGCTGTGTAAATAGCGAATGAAAAACAGAGAGAGAGAGAGAGAGAGAGAGAGTGAGAGAGAGAGTGTGTGAATGAGTGAGTGAGTGAGTGAACGAGAGGAATTAAAGGCTAGAGAGAGATACTGAGTGAGTGAGAGGGAGTGTGAAACAGAATGGAAGAGAGCGAGAGGAAAAAGTTACTTGACCGAAATTAAGGAATAGGGAGGTAGGACGAAAGATCTGTGTAAATAGAGAATGAAAAACAGAGAGAGAGAGAGAGAGTGGGGGAGAGGGAGAAGGCGAGGGGGAGAGAGNGTATAAATTCACTTTTTCACATCCTAAATGTATTTGTTAAATGTAAACAATGTTTGTAAATCCCAGGCCCTGAAGATGATCTCAATAAAGATCGAAACGTTGGCCATAAAGAAAATGTTTTTCTGAAACCTACATCACACCAGACCGCATCTCACGATTTCTGAATAATTAAAGATTAATTAATTGAAAAAAATTATTTGGTCAATCGGATGTCGAACTCTAATGGATATCATATATAATAACAGTAATTATTCAGAAATCGTGAGATGCGGTCTGGTGTGATGTAGGTTTCAGAAAAACATTTTCTTTATCGTCCCAACGTTTCGATCTTTATTGAGATCATCTTCAGGGCCTGGGATTTTATTTATTTGGCCCTGGTCTTCTGGGCTCAATAAAGATCGAAACGTTGGCCCGATAAAGAAAAAGTTTTTCTGAAACCTACATCACACCAGACCGCATCTCAGAATTTCTGAATAATTATCTATTAACTGTCACTAATCACCACACATATAATAACAGTAATATATATATATGAATTTAATAAGAAAACAGGAGGAAATATGTGGTGAGGCTCATATCCGTTATATCAATAAATACATAAAATATTATGTATTGAATTTAATTCGTATGCAAAATTGACCGAAAATTATCACTGTTTTGTTTCCAAGATTGCAAAATTTAAATAAAAGTGAGGTATAATCCTTGAGACAACCTTCATGTTAAGAATGGGATTTTTAACTAAATGACTATCAACATTATGTTTAATAAAGATAAAACATAATAATTTCATTTTATTTTTCAATTTTGAATGAAATATGATTTATTCAACAAGTTTATAATCGTGTACGTCACAGCCAGAATAGGAGACTAAACGTTGTAATACATGATAATCCCCATATCGATTTAGCAGATCACTAATTGAGCTTTAGTCCCGTTTCTAAATCCCATAATCTTAGACAGATTTAGGGAAGACGGGCAGGTATTACAGCTTGTCGAAACAATATCACTCCAGGCATTACAAGTAATGGAACTTACATTCGAGACAATCCTGTTGAGCCGGCCGGGCTAATTGCCCTCATTAAAATGTCAGTTCGGTAATAAGAGAAAAATGTAACAGCCGTTGGACCCGGTTCAATTAGGAAATGCCAAGGCCCGCCGGATGTTGATAGAAAAGTTTTTCCAGGAGAAGGGGAAAATTATGATACCTCTGGCGACATTAACTGGCCCCCTTGGATACTTAAACGCGCTTCGTTAAAGACAACACTGGATAAAACTCCCCTTTATTGAAGAGAAAACTTCGCTCGGGCTTTTAGTAAGTACATCTTAGCTTTGACGGCAAACTTTCCTATACGATTCTTCATTTGATAACGCCCTTGTGGTTCTTTTAATCTGCCTCGCGAAACGGCACCTTTTGAGGATCCATGAACAGAACAGGTCCTTTCCTTTTTTAAAACATCTAGAATTATTTATCCAAACTGTGCTAATCGTTTTAAATCGGGGGTGTCGGCGGCAAATGTTAAGGCGTTTGCACGGCGACTTGTAAAGGTATCAAGAGCACTGTCGATAGGTGACTCTTGGAGGATCGTAGAACAAGGATTTTACCCACCTGTTTAAGAATAGGGAACGAGAGAGAGAGAGAGAGAGAGAGAGAGAGAGAGAGAGAGAAGAGAGAGAGGGGGATGGGGGAGTGGAATTGAAGGAGAAATGAGTAAGTGATAGAGAATTATAAGAGGAAACGGGATGGCGAGAGAGAGAAGGAAAGAAAGAGGAATTGTGAGGGAACGAAAGGGAGAGGGAGAGAGTATAGAAGTGTAAGTGAAACGGGAGAAGGGGAAAAGAGAGAGTGAGTGAGAAAATGAGAGAGTGAGGAAAAAGAGGATAAGAGGGATGATGAAAGAGGGAGAAGTTGAAAGCGAAACAGTGAGTCAAAGATGAGAGAGGAAAAGGGGAAAGGAAGGAGTGAATGAGTAAGTGCGAGAGAGAGAGAGAGAGGGGGGGAGGGAAAGAAAGAGAGAGGGAGAGAGAGAGAGAGAGAGAGAGAGAGAGAGAGAGAGAGAGAGAGAGAGAGGCAGGGATAGAGGAAATAATGATAGTAATGATAAGTGATAGAGAATTAGAAGAGGAAACAGGATGGCGAGAGAAAAAGGGAAAGAAAGAGGAAAAGTGATAGATTGAGTAAGTAAATGAAAGTTAAAAGGGGAAAGGAAGGAATGAATGAGTGAGTAAGTGGGAGAGGGTAAACAAAAAGAGGGTAAGAGAAGAGGAGGAAAGAGGGAGAAGTTGAAAGGGAAACAGCACCTTTTGAGGATTCATGATTAGTACTTACTTCAACGCCTTTTCTTATTTTTTTTTATAACATATCGAATTATTTATTCAAAGAAAGAGAGAGAGATAGATAGAGAGAGAGAGAGAGAGAGAGAGAGAGAGAGAGAGAGAGAGAGAGANAGGAAGAGACAGGGATAGAGGGAGAGAAAGAAACAGGAGGATGGGAGAGAGAGAGATAGAGAGAAAGAGAGAGAGAGAGAGAGAGAGAGAGAGAGAGAGAGAGAGAGAGAGAGGAAAAAGAGGGAAGGGTCACACACAGTACCTTTTGAGGTTCCATGATTATTACTTCAACTCCTTTTCTTAATTTTTTATTTTTTTTTAACATCTAGAGTTATTTACTCAGACTGTTCTAAAATCAGGGGCGTCATTCGCAGCAACTGTTAAAGCCATGCCATGGCGACTCATCACTGTAAAGGTTCATATCACTGTCGATAGGTGACCCTCGTAGGACTGACTCGTTGAACAAGGGTCATACCTAACTGTTTCAAAGATAGCTATTGCGAAGAGGCTTACGATCTC